TTCAACATACCATGGACTTTTATTGTTGTGGGATGCGAATGCGATTTCACGAGAATAGCATGCAAGCTGATCCCTGCTGTCTCCTCTTGAATCTCATTAGAATTACGAATTTCAGTTTCCTGTTGCTCCACTAAGCCCTCATCGGCTTCTAATAGTTTCAAGGTACCCGCTTTACATCTATGCCTCGGGCCATATTTCTCCCCACATTTAAAGCACTCACCCCTTAAATAACGGTTTTGATTTTCGGTGTCTGAAATTTTGAACGGAGTTTTTAGTTGGTTAGAGGGTTGAGGGATGTAAGGGGTAACGGTTTTGGAATCAAGTGGCAGCGGTGGTTTGAAATTTGGCGCCACGATAGGACTCTTTCCAGGTCGGTGTTGGTTGGATTTGGACTCAAATTCCAAGGCAAGACTCATAGCGTTGTAAATGGTTCGTGGTTTGTGTATTCTCACATCAGCTTTTAATTCCTCCTTCAACCCGTTGAGGAAAACCCCTAACAAACAGTGGTCTGGCTAGTTCGAAACCCGCGAAGATCGCTTGGCGAATTCTTGACGGTATTCTTGTACCGATGCAGTCTGTTTGATACTGCAGAGGTATTCATCTGGATTTTGAAACTCGGCTGGACCGAAGTTTTTGGTGAAGGTTTGCACTAACTCTTCCCAAAAAGTCAAAGATTGATCATCCGAAAGCCAAGAATAGAGGTCTAAGGCGTTTCCCTCTAGGTGCATGGAGGCGATTTCTACCTTCTCTGCATCAGGTATATGATAATACCGAAAATACTTTTCCGCCTTTAGTATCCAACCACGTGGATCCCCTCCATTAAAAATAGAAAATCAATTTTGTTGTAGGGTCTGTATCCAGTTCGTCCCCTCCACGAGCTATCCGCATCGTCACCCTTATTGCCTTTGGATCGAGGTCTGTATCCAGGTCTCCTTTCAAGGCTGCAATGTCTTCCTTCATTGAATCGATGAACTCCAATTTTGAAGCAATGGCTGCCAATTGAGCAGTGATTTGGTCTGGGTTTGAGCCGCTGCTCTCAGAACCGCTCCGGTTTTGAACCATCTTCGAATTTCCCGGCAATGGAACCAAATGATAAGATCTAAAATTCAAGCAGGCAACTTTGATTGGAACTGAAATAAACGGCCCGATTCGAGAGGGGCAATGTCTCCAATTACACAATA